CCAAATCTGAACCTCTGCTACAGTCATGGCACAGGACAGTGAATCTATACCAAATGAAACACCTCAGAAATTATCTTTTAGCACTGAATTTGGTAGATTACACTTCAGGAAATCCCATAAACATGAGATGCTATCCTGCAGTACAAAAATCCTGAGTTGATGGCAATCAGTATGAGAAATGGACCTAAAAGCAAGGATTAGTATCAACCCAGCCTGACAAGCTGCTGCATGGTATATCAACACTTTGACTTGTTCTTTTACTAGCAAAGACTTAGTTTGCCTAGATTAATAATAAACTCTGTATGTTACAGATGTAACTAATTCTTCAGATAAAAATAATACTTTTGCAGTAAAGATGAATATATATGATATTTTTGAAGTCCCTGATGGTTAATATGTTGAAACTTAGAAATCTTCTGTGTGTTTATGGTACTAACACTATTTCAACACACAGCAAAGAAACAGTGTGCATCTGCTTAAGGAAATTTGAATGCTGTAACTTAACATTATGTATTCTACAACATTTCTGTGTTGCTGGGTTTAAACTACAGGCATTTTGTTCTCAAGCTGTGAGAGTTAGCAGTATTACCAATGCAAACTCACCTGACTTAGTATATCCCTTTCCCTCACAAGCCCATCTGCAGCTCTTTTGCCAATCTCTGTCTGTTTTTTGGCTGCATCCAGCTCTAGAGAAAAAGAGGAAAGACAATAAATCCTGGGTTCAAACTGCAGAGCTGTTAAAAATGCAGAAACCTTTTGAAAAGCCTTGACAATTAAATTAATCAACAATTAATTTCAATTAAAATCAACAATTCAATGAGCTATGTCCAGGTTTTACAACTCCAGGTATCAGTTAATGATATCAATACTTACTTGGGTGCCTAGAATAACTTAAAAGAATTCATAAGACAGATCCACCCATCTGTTAAGCACCTACCTCTCTCTAGTCTGGATACTTGATTTTTTAGGATGCTTTTCTCATGTTCTGCATCAACTTTTTGTTCCTCTGCAACATGCAGCTTACTCTGGATAACATCTGTTGTTTTGTTCAGCTTTGAAATTTCAAGGCGCATCTGAGACACTTCATCATCTCTTTCCTACAGAACAGCATTAAGGAAAGGAGAGAGAAAAGTGTCCATGGAAAGAAAGAAGAAAATGCTTCTGTATTTGGTACATACTTATTGCATGAAATTCAGGAAGTAAAGATATAAGTGCTGTGGGTCACCTGCAAGAAGATAATTAGCTAACTGAACAATATGAAAACTAATTTAAACAAAGCCAGATAGGGCAAGGGAAATTATAACCAAACCTTACACTTTAGGGCTGAAGATGATCAATAAAGAATCCCCAGCTGCAAATCTCACACAGCACTACACAAGTAGCCCTGCAGATTGATAGGTGGCTCTAATTTCCTTTGAAGTATTAGGCACAGTGACTGTGATGAGGAAGATATCTGTAGTGTGGTCTGATTGTGTGTCCCTAAATAGCAGGTATGTGTTATCTCCATCTCTTCTATAACCTATGGCTTTAAAGAATTTTTCCTTTTAAGAAGAAAATATAACTTCCTCATATAATTCAGTGCCATTGTTAGGTTTTACAGCCATCACAGACTACAGTGTTCCACTTACAGCCTCAGGTACTGACTTTGTGGGATGGGGAATCCTGCTATCTGGGAGGATGTGAATCTTCTCAGTTCTTACTGACAATAACCTCATGAGATTTATGAGTACTTTCACAGTTTGTGTTGCCCAGAACCACAGTGGAGGCACTCAGCACACTGCAGAATGAAACTGCAAGCTCAATCCCTACAAAAATTGCATCTCAGCCCCGTGATTGGGGCTCCTAGAAACTTCAGCAATTGGCTTAACTACTAATTGGGCAGTATCTTCTGTTTTTTTGCTCCCAGAAGTCCATGTGCATAACCCTAAAAGTTCCATCAACTTTTCTTGAAATAAGGATAGAATCAAAATCCTTTAACACTCTGAAGCCCCAAATGTAAGTCATATTTGAGCACATTGTTCGTAAAGTTTTAAACAATGATGGTATTGGTAGAAGTAACAATAAAACTGGATAACATGGAAAGACAGTAATTTGTTTTTCAAATAGTTAAGAAAAATATCCTTCAGTCTGTCTAACTGGTTAGTTATATCATACTGAATAACAGTCCCCATTGGCAAATATACTTTTTATTTAGGTGAATTGGTTATACTTGACTAAGCCTTGGGAAGGTAATTATTGGACCTGTATTGTCCAATGTTTAGTGTTTTAACCCCAATAATGATACAAAATGCAAGGTATGGTAGATAGTATAATAGCACCTAACACTTATACATTACCCTTTATCACAAGTGCTCTTGCAGTATCCTAAAAAGAATATGCACAAATCATTTAATCCTTCCTTAACTGAAACTCATCTCCTTCTGAGCTGGATAAAATGACCATTAAATAATGTGGAGTCAGGGAAGAAAGCCATATAGATCTGAAAGTAAACACCATCTGGGTTACTTACATTTAACTTCCTCAGCCAATACTGTGGGGGACAAAAATGTTAGTGTTGAAAGCAACTCCCTTCAGTGGAAGCTATCCAGGACACCATTGTTATAATTTATCAACATTTTCCAAAGGGTTTTGCCAAAATTCAGGTTATGTTAAGCACTGCAAGTAAGAAAGTCATTGCTTTTATTGGAAGATCTCACAATCAAAAAAAAGAACTTATATTTGCCAAAAGTACCAGATATCCTTTATGAACACAGTGTGTTGAGCATTTTGATGTATGTGTCTTATGAAACAGCTCCTCCAGCAGGACAGGTACTACTCTGTCAGGTGAGAGGGCTGGAGACTACCATGACCACAGTATTGCCATAGAAAGAATGGCACCGTGTCAGCCAGATCTCCTCCAAAACTACCTATAGGGAACTATCAGGACAAGATCTGATAGGTAGTGCTACCCAAGTGGTAGCACTGTCACCAGAGTGATACGGCCAACAGGATGTATGCACCTTCTGGTACTTACTTTCAGTTGAGTTGTCTTCTGTTGGACGTCCTTCACCACCTCTTCAAACACCAAATGCTGCTGCTCGCTCTCTTGCATGAGCTTATTATTTTTCCTCTTAAGTTCCTCAAGTTCCTTAGTAGCTCTTTCATTCAAAATCTGTTAGATTAAAAGAACAACCCTATTAATTCTTTTCATTCTCATTACAATATCTACATATACATGAAGACAAAACCTTCCATGTTCCCAGAAGATAAAGGCTGCTACAGATTTTGGTCTGTTTAAAAACCACTCTTCACTGCCGATGAAATTACTAATGTGAAATAAGAAACATGCTAATATTGACTAGTGGAAATTATAATTACTAATGAATAACACAGCCAGTGCCATTTATTTTTCTGGAGGCTTAGCAGGTCTCTATTGCAGGTGGTAGATAAATATTTTACTTCTTGTTAGGCATTTGGCAAGCATCATGTAACACATCTTGCTACACGTAATTACTGAAAATGAGTATGAGATTCAAATTACTTCAATCAGCAGAGGGCAGGGAAGCTCTGTTTTATGAGCATTTATGAGCTACATTAATAAGCTGATGACATTTCTCTGGGGACACAGTTTGTTGAGAGCAGGACATGAGCATTTCCCTCTTCAATTTGTCTGCAGTCAAACACTACTGGAGCTATGTCCTCTGCTTGATGGAACTTCCCTTGCAGATATTACAGATACAGATGAGAAAAGAACAACCATCATATTTTTCACTCTAATAATTAACGTGTGATAACCTGATGAAGTCAATATGTATATGCTCATGAAAAATAAGTAAAGGAAGAGAAATGGAACATAATGTAAAAACAAGGAATACTGTTTCTTGTATTGCAAATGTCAGGATAACACAGTTTCAGGCAATTCTTTATTGAGACTTGCACATGGGTGGGATGAAGCTTATAGCAGGTGTAACAAACCATTTTCACTGTCATGAAAGAAAGGATTTTTTTTAGAAATTTCAGGGGAATAAGAGCAGACATCACAGGCAACTACAATTCAGTTGAGAAACAGTAACCCAACGATATTGCAAGAGCTGAGTCACCTTCTTTTGCAGATCTCTGTCCTGACTCTTGCACAGTTGGATAACCTGTGTTTTGGACAGACTTCTAGCAAAAGACAATGCAGAGCCTCCACAGATACCTTCACGCCAGCACAGGCAACAAAGACAGTGCAAAAGTCTGGTTAATTAGCCTAGGTACAGCACTTCATGTGAACTGTTGGTTTTCAGGACAGTTTGGACAATTAAATGCCTCTAAAATTTGCACTTTGAAACATTGAAAGGGACTATGAAGAGGAGGAAGAATGGAACAGAACCAGGAATTGTATATACAATGTTATTGTCATAGCAGATCATGGAGCTGCCCTCAAAAGCTGCATTAAATCAGTGATATTCAGGAAAATAACCAAGTCTTCTCTGTATCTCTTTATGTGAAGTACTTTACTAAGACTCTGTGTTGACAAAAAAATTGGCACAGACCTCTACCTTCACAATTTCAGGGACCAGAAGGGAAGAAAAAGACATAAAAATCATAAATCTACAAGATACACACAACTCACAAGGAAGTTTCCCTTGAGGTAGGACTGGTTTACAGTGATGAGATCTCCCCTGCCATTTACTGAAATTGCTTCTCTGAGAGTTTCTCAAAGTCAGGGGAAATGGACTGAAAACCAGAAAATTCACACACTAACAGAACACTATGTTAGGACATTTTCAGATAAAGTTTTCAGAAACAGAATGAGGAAAATCAATCAAAAAGCTTTATGGAGACAGTTCTCTGCCCTTTCACAAAAACTCTTCCACAGGCTTGAGAGGTAGATAAAAATTACTGTGAAAAAGAAGAAAGAAAGGGATGGAGGTAAAATGATTTTACCAATGCCACTAGAGACAATCGATGGCAAAAGTGGCAATATAGTCAGAAGTCCAACCTGGCAGTCTCCTGTTACTATCATTAGATCATCCACGCTCATCACAGACTATCTCCCATTTGCTGTGATCTTTTCAAGATGATCTCCAACAATATCATTGCAACCCACTACTGATTTCTGTGAGGAAATCTATCAGCAAACTTTACATACTTATTTATTAGTAAATTAATATTTATATTAAAATATTTTTAACATTTAATAACTTTAAATCATCTCCCTCCCTCTCACTTCAGGAAAAGCAATTTTCTTCTTCATTAAACATCTGACTCTAATCTTAGACCTGATGAATGCAGTGGGCCATGTACCCTACCTTCAGCTCTTTAAGATTCTCTTCCATCTTCTGTTGTTCCTCTTTGTTCCTCTCCATATATTGCTGTAAATTCTGGTTCTCAGCTTGCTTTTTATCCATTTCAGCTAGAAGACTTTTCAGCTCGTCCTCCATTTTTTCCTTCTTTTGAGCCTCTTGCAATTTCTCATTCTGATACAGCTGGATGTCTTGCTGAAGCTGTAACAAGAGAGAAGACAACAGTTTTAAGTTCTGCTGCCTTTTACTTAGAAAAACAAGTCCTCTCACCACTCCTACTATGCTTGATTTTGAATATAACAGCTACTATATTACTACTACATGGAATATGCCAGATCTTCTCAGAAGTAATTATGTTCTCTAATGGCTGAACAAAAAATCCTGCATGAAGGAACCTACTTATTGACGACAAGAATTTTTTAAGCACCAGTCAGTTCACCCACACAGAAGGGTCTGATACAGTTCAGACATAACAGCATTCCTCTGGAGATGCAGTGGTACAAATGTCTTTTCAGTTATAAGTTACTTGCAAAGTGGTACTTTCTGAATGCAGCACTAAAATTAATTAGGGCTTGATGTTGTAGTGCAAGGATTTTTATTTTGACCTTTCTATCTCACCAGCAGAAACACTTAATACACTGATATTAAAGGAGAGAGATGTCAGACCAGTGTTCATTTTCACAACTGGTCTCAATCTTTCTGCTCTCAAAGTTCTTCTGTGGGAACTTAGAAAGAGGAGTTTTTTCTCATATTTAATACATTGTCTTGTGACTTCTGCTCTCTCCCTCCCCCAAAAATGTGATGGAGCACATCAGCAAAGAGGAGACACAGGGGGCTGATCCACATGGAAATATTCAGTTCAGCCAGGGACAAGCAATTTAAAGAAGTTATTAGCTTAAGGATTCCTCCCACTCTGAGCCCATAGATGAAGAGTTGCCAGAACTGACAGGATCTTCAACAGGATCTTCAAAAAGACATTGTCATTTAAACAGTCTGAAGAGGAGAATAATTTCATGCTGGAAGAATGGGAGGTGATTACAAACGCTGTAACAATCCTGCAAACTTAAAGGGTGATGAAGTGAATATCAGAAGATTAAGGCTGCCAAAATTCAACAAGTTCTGAGGAGTTTCAATCCTCTCTCTTTTCTTTCATACCCACAATGTTGTCAGGAAAACTGTTGAGGAATACATCTGGTTTGCAAACTGCAGTTAGAGATGCAGACTGAGGTGCAGATTGAGCTCTGAGTGGGAGCCCAGGGAGACAAGAGGCCGTGAACTGCCAACCTTTTGCATAACAAAGGGCACGAAGAACCTTCCGTGGTGGTGGTGCCAACTGGTGAGTGGACACCGAGAGCCACGGGTAGACTGTGAGGATATAAAAGCCATGGGGTTCCTTGGCTGAGGTCCTCCTCGGAGGCACCAACTCTGGCTGTTTCTGTGTTCCTGCGCTGTGAATAAACTATTTCATGGAGACAAAACATAGATTTTATATAGCCTTCTAATATATTCCCATTCATCTGCTTTAGAAACAGAAAAAAATTCTGTACATGAACCCTAGGCTGATCATTGCTATTAGTGATCAATAAAAATCTGTAAGCCAAATGCTGCTTCTGTGTCTTTTCTGTTCTTTGCTTAAGTGTTCTTCTCTGCTCTTCCTTTATCCTGGTGTCTTGCTCCAGCCCCTATTTATATTCTGCTTTAGAGTCTTTCATTCCTCATTATTAAGTTTTTATATTTGATGTATCAAAGTTCTGTATCCCATCTTCCATCCTTTTCTACTTTCCTTTCATTCAGTCACTATTCTACTGATCCTCAGCCTTGTGTTTCTCTAGCTGCTATACACATTTAAAGGAAGCTATACATATTGATCACTAAAGAACAATGGTTCAGATGGTTAGAAAAACAGAAAGCCCAAACTTAAAGTAAAGCTGGGATGGAATATGACTGCTCTCTACAGACACTGATGAGGTGAAAAATTTAAGCTGAAAAACAGTAGGGCCAGAATCAGTGTGAAGAAGAAAGTAGGTGGTTTCTAAGCATTAGAAAAGTGAGGCTCTGGAAAAGCTTCCCATAAGGAGTAGGAAAGAAAATAACCTACTTAGTTTCTAAGTCAGAATTTGATACGTTCTTAAAAATTATGGTATCACATCATATGAGAACCATGGCCAACAGCAAGGGACTTAGGATCTTCATTCCAGGTCTCTTTCAAGGCATAAGGATTTAAAACACCCCACATCTCCACTATGAAATATGACTACAGTTGAGGCAAAGCAACCTTGGCCCCATTCAGGGTATTGAGAAGCTACATGACAATACACTTTGCAAAGGACATAGCCTAGAAGTACAGAAAAATACAAATGTCATTCTTAACAGACTCCTTTCTGAGGACTCCTGAAAAAGTCTGAGATGTGAAAGAACAGGTAGTAGCATACTAGTCAACGGAGATTAATTACAAGTGTGGAGAAAGGTTCAGGACAAAGCCTAAAATCACCACCTGGTGATTGGTACAGACCTGCATAAGGGATTGCTCTGCCTCATTTTTTGCCTTCTCTGTATCCTGCTGCTGCTCTGTGGCTTGAGTGAGACTTTCACGTAAGTTCACAACTTCTGACAACAGTTGGTCTCGCTCCTTTGTTACTTCTTCATTATGTTTTAGCAAATCCTCGATACTGGAAGCAAGGAAATAATGGTCAAGCAGTGTCAAAGGCCATTTCTGTTCTTCTAGAGCAAGACCTTGTGAGAAATAGGAGCTTAAAAGTAATTTGTTTCATTTTAAACTCCTCTTGCATTAAGACTCTGATGGTCAAGGGAATTATATGCTCTACCTATTGTGGTCATAGTAACCATCAACCTAGTCCAATAAATCACTCTTGATTGTTGTATTATGTCCTCATGAGTCTCAATAAAACGTCCAGTTTTCGAAAAAGGTAACATGGAACGAAATTCCCTCTTCTCTGCTCACTGAAAATTGCTCAGGGACCAAAAATGTTACACTGTTGTAACCAGTCTCTCTGCAGCTTACCTGACTGGGCACCTAGCTAGGTTATGTCTTAAAGTCACTTGATGTAAGAATAACACTGGCTCTCTGTTTTGACACATTTACATTATGGAAGAAAGTCCAAGCACCGTGGGTTCCAGCTCAACCTTAAAAAGCAGCTTTATAGTTCTAAAAAACTATAAGGTTTTCAGGGCTGAAATCCTGCAAAGAAGCTCCCTAATCTCATGACCTTGTCCCTGGACAGGGTATTTAAGCACGGAACTGGAGAACAATGCAGAAAGAAGTTCAACAAGAAATTTTAAGTAGGCAGATCTCAGCAGCCTGAGCAGAGCTGGAAACAGGAGTGAGGAGTTGCAAAGTAATGGCTCCTGGCTCTCGCAGGAAAATGCAAACAGCAGACAGAGAGAGATGCCTTTAGGGAGGGTTATACTAGGGGAAGACTTAACAGCCAAGCTTTTTGATCCAAGGAAACCTGTTAAACAACTCCAGAACGTTTCAGGGACAAAAGGTGAAGGAGTGGATTTCTCATGAATCCAGGTGGTTTATGTGCTGGCACATTCCTTGCAGGGGAAGTGTCTGAGCACACTAAAGACCTCGCTCACAGACACAAGTCTTGTTTTTGCAGCCTGGATACACAATGCATGCAGAGATGAGCATGCCCCATACCTATCCTGAACGCATAACACAAATAAATACCTTTAGCAGTGTGAAAATTTCAAGCCATAACCAGCAGTGCCAACCATCAGCAATCTCAACAGAGAGTGCACAGCTCATAGGGTCAATATACTAAATCACTTCTTTGAGGTTACACTTAATCTTACAGCATAAGCAGTCTGAGGACCTGATACTACCAACAGTAGCTTTTGGAGGGCTTCTGAGCAGCTCCAGAGGTTATTATTAATTGCACACTGTAGTGGCTAGAGGCTCCACCTGAGACTAGGTGCCTCTATGCATATGTTTGGTTAAAACCCCCACCATAATCTTGAAAGTGTATAAATACAAAATATAAACAAGAACACAGTGTTAATGCCTTATAACAAAACTAGGAACTGAAGAGAAATCAAATCTCCTGCTTCCTAGACTTATCTATTTGACCTTGCTGCTGGAAAATGTAAAAATATTGACATGATCCTGTTCTCAAAGACAAAGTATGCTGAAATGCTAGTCAGATAAAATAATATGACAGATACTGAGAAAATGCATAATATTGATTTTTATTTGATCTCTCAGCTTAGTCCAATGCTGAGTGAACTCAGAGCCTGATTCTGCACTTTCTCACTGCTTAAATACATAAATGTCTACTCACGAGAAAAGGCAGAAATTATCACTTTTTCTATTGTAGTGTCTACATGGCTAAACAAAGTGTAGAATGATAGAAAATCAGATCAGGTTTTTCCTCTCCCTGAGGACAACTTACTTGCATACATCTCTAGAGCTTTGTTCTAGTAAAATATTTAGGCGTGCAATTTCCTCTTGCTGTGAATTTATCTTTGCCTTCGCTTCCTGTTCCTTTTCATAGGCTGTGTCTATCATTTTCCAGGCCTTTTCCAGCTCCTAGTAACAAGATGGAAAACAATTACATAATTAAATTGTGTTTAAAATTAACCACAAATTAAAAATTAATTGCCTTGCATTTTGGTTAGCTAAGAAAACAGATTTTTCTGCCTTTTCATGCTTAGGTTCACAACAGTTCCCTTCACTGGTTAACTTGGGTTATGAGTGAGGGCATAGCAAACATTTTGAGCCATTCAGGCTATGTCAATTTACATGACAAAAAGCTCTAATACATTTTCTTTAACACATAGATCTGAACTTTATCAAATCTCACTCTATGAGGGTTTGGTCGTGTGAGTACCACTAATATCTAAAAATTTACTGAAAATTCAGTGCCCACAAAGGCACTTAAATAGCTCACATCTGTGAAAATCTGATTAGCTGTTATGACAATGAACATCCAATTTGATTTGCATGAGAAAAAGATGTTACTCTGGGGTTTTCTGCCTCTTTATTCATTTTCATCTATGAGGACCCAGTGTATTTTGATTTTAACTATGTCTTTTGACAAGCCACAACTCTTGTGCCAAATTTCAGCACATGGAGTTACTTGAATGACAGACTCATGTGCCTCTCACAAGCCTAGGGTTTGGTATCCACAAACAGGATAGAGGAGGAGGGTTCATTTGATTTTTTAACTTCCTCTGCATCTCTCCCCCTTGAATCAGATCCTTATGAATCAAACACAAGGCATATTGCTTGCCAGGTTCAAACCAAGCTCCTACCACTTCTGAAATCCTGTGCTTAAAAAAATGCATAAATTCAGAAAGTGACTGGACTGGAAGGAAAGTTCCAGAAGACTCAGTAAATAATGAAGACACTACTTTCAACACTAGAAGTCTCTGAGCTGCAAATCACAGAGTGATGTTCCCCCACTCACACTCTTTTCTCAACTGGCTCCTGGTAGAGTTCTGGACTTGATGGACCTGTACAGATCTAGACCCCAAATGTGGCTGCGCAGTTCTACATCAGCTCTAGAGTCTCCTCAAGGAGAGCCAAATCATTACAATCAGGCCATAATATCCCTTTCAACTCCTACTTGCATCATATGAAATTGGGTCATGGAAAAAAATATTTTAAAAAACAGCTCCATAATGAAGAAAATAAAATTTAATTTATATCAAATTGTTTACAAGAGTTCTTTACTGTAATTAACATCTCTGGATCTAAAAAAATCCAAAGAACCTAGTTAACATTACCCTTTAAATTATGACACCTATATCATGGAATGTTGTTAATATATTTATCAAACTCTTTAAAATCTGTAGTGTTTAGCAGTTTACTGGCCAAATTAAAAATTCAAGCTATTGAACTAGCAGAAGTAACAGGCTACCAGATTTTGATGAAAAGATAAGATGAAATATAACATCTGTAGCCTCTTCAAACTGCAGAGGGAATACATTTTCATTTCATTTATTCAACTAACTCAGCATAGCTGAGAAACCATCTGGAACCTAAAGATCACAAATGTTGGCTCCTCTTTTTTTTCCTCCAATGTATTCATAAAAAGTTAAATGGTGGGCTTTACTTGTTCAGAAATTCTGAAGATTACAGTCAATTACATTCACTACCTACAAACAGTATTTTCATTACTTAATAAATGACTTGGTTCAAAATTGAGTTTGAAGAATGTGCTTTTTCACGTACATATCAAGAATATTTAAACAGCTTTAAGCATTAAAGTCAATTTTTATGTTTTATATATTTTGAGTTCTAATTTCCATTCAAATGCAGCAATGATCACACATAAAGTATTAAGCATCATCTAGTAAATAATACATTTTTCATTCATTATTATCTTACATAAAAATGTTCAATTATGGAATTTAAATAAATGCATGCTAGGCTGAAGTAATGGCATGAAGACATAGTGTATCATGTTGACTAGCAGAAAAGCATAAAATGTAACTGTAAATAAACATGTTTCACATTCATCAACCAATAAGAGGTAACCAACATTTCTCTAGAAAAATGCAAACTGAAAATAAGAATAAAACTGATTACTTAAATCAAAGCTTCCTGCTGGCTGATTAGACTGTGATTAAAGCTGGTGAATTAAATCATTACAATCAGAGTTTTGGAGGATAGAGCTGGGGAATAAATCAATATGCCCTCTGAGATGTTTTACTGGCTTCAATGAGTATTTTGTTCTGCTGAGTATTTCCAAAAGTGATCCCCTGAAGTCAATGAGGCCATTCAGATAAGCAGTGATTTCAGGCCACCCTAAGCTGTGCTTTTTGAACTTCATCTCACTTTTGATATGTAAAAGCAATTGTAATTAATTTGCATAGATAATGCATAAGAAGGACATGGAACTGTTGGAGCAAGTCCAGAGGAGGCCACGAAGTGGATAAGAGGACTGAAGCACCTTCCCTATGAGAACAGGCTGAGGAAGCTGGGGCTGTTCAGCCTGGAGAAGACTGCATGGAGACCTCATAGCAACTTTTCAGTACTCAGGCTACAAGGGAGCCAGAGAGAGACTCTTTGTTAGGAACTGCAATGATAGGACAACAGGTAATGGATTCAAACTGAAGGAGGGGAAGTTTAGGTTATATACTAGAAAAAGGTTTTTTACTCTAAGGGTGGTGAGACACTGGCACAGGTTGCCCAGGGCCATGGTGCCTGCCCTGACCCTGGAGGTGTTCAAGGTCAGGCTGGATGAGGCCTTGAATAACCTGATCTAATGAGGAGGTGTCCCTGCCCATGGTAGAGAGAGGGTTGGGACTAGATGATCTGTAAGGTCCTTTCTAACCCTTAAATTCCATGATTCTATGATTGTACCAGTTTTTATCAATAAAGTTAGGAGGCACAGGTGATGGCCTCAATCACCATAAGTAAGAATTTGCTAGACTTCATCATCTGCAAAACTGGGCTTCATTGTGGTTGCTTCTTGGTTGTGTCTTTTACTGTGAAAAGTGGATCAGCAGACTGCTTCCATTAACTTCAAAGGTGATGATGAGGGAAGTTTTGGTGCTGGAAGCCTTCACTGAAAAAATACTCACATTGCTACTCAGTGGAGAAAGGAACTGAAAGACTGCAGTGTGTCAGCATCACTGGGTAACTGCAGCACATAGGTAGGTATCATCCATGGAATTCTATTGCATAATTAGAGAAGGCAGTACACTGGATATTTGCCATTAGAATACTCCGAACATTTTTTGAAAAGTACTGAACTCTGGAACTTGTGAAATAGAATTTATAAAGTGTGACTGCCTTATTTTATTTTAATTTAATACCCCAAAAGATCACATCAGTGTCATTGCTCAGAAGCTGAGAATTAATGAAATGCTTTCTTAGTATATTGGCTTGATACGCCTGGAAATTGAAAATTTGGTCATTCCAAGCAGGGCAGTACAAGCTCCTATAAATTCCCCTTCTAGAGTTCTTCCAGTGAAGCCTTGTGGATCAGTAGCCCTACCAATGAAAAACAGAATGATATTTCCATGGAGATTAGCTTGGCCCTTTGCTCCTTTGATATGCCTGTAACCAGCAGATTGTTATGTCCAGTTTATTAAAACTACAAAACAGAGAACAACCACCAGAGAGTTAACATCTATTGATTATTACTAACCTGAGTCCTACCAGCTACTGATATGTGTAGTTAACCCCTGCCCCCAAACAAGCCCTACTGATTGCAACCAGGGTGCACATGGAGAAAAATTTGGCTTCTGCAATTTTTATTCGTATATGAAACAATGATCTAGAAAAGAAAGGCTGTACACTTGTTACCCTAATGACCCATCAAGTCACCAAGATTTAGAGCCTTAATTTGAAGCAACTATACCATTTTTACAGGAACAGTCCCATCAGGGTTCTTTTGACTTTCATAAATAATTAAATTGTGGGACAGATTGTTTTTAGTGCTGAAGAATATAATCTTGGCTACTTTAGTACTTGAATTTCTGTCAACACTTACCTCAGCCACTTGTGAAAAACGTTTAGAATGTCAGTAAAATACTACAGCTGTAATGGAACTTCCCTTCAGAATGGAGAGTAACAAGGAATATGAAGGGTGCACCAAGCAAAACCCCAAGACTAGGCATGAACATTTAAACAATATTCCTGAACATTTAAAGGAAAGACTAATTCTGATAACCAAACTGAAAAAGTATCAGCACTGTACACTTGGCTCACAGCATGCCACTAGAATTGAAATGTCACATGTTGTGCACTGCATGTCATTTCTAACAGGATCATATTGTCAAGCAGCTTTTGCACTAGAAAATCTCTTAACGGGTTCAATAGTAGGTGGTATGGTTAAGCTATACCCTGCCTGAGCTTCAAATTAGCTGCTGGAATTGGAAAGGCTCTTATTTCCCCAACTCTTATGCTCCTCAGTTTTATGACGTTACTAAGACAATGTCTCCTCAGCTTGGGACCATCTCAAGGGATTACCTCTGCTACTGTTCACACACAGAGTATTGCCATGTAATAGCAGAAAGAAAATTGTAAGGATATTTGTGGTTCCTGACACTCATCTATCAGGTTTTGATTGGCAGCAATGAAAATCAACAAGATTTTCTATGCAGTTTTCCTCCTCCTTGAGGAGGCTTTGGGCAGTACCATGGGTTTGCAAGCTGCAGCCACAGATTGACAGCACTGCTATTTATATTTATTCTCAATGTTATTTTGTTCATAATTCTAAGGGCAAGAAACTTTATATCAAAGAACTTCTATTTCTGTAGTGGTCATAAATCACTCTGGATTGTTACACTGAATTTATTTTACTGGAACAAACTACTTTATTCTAAGGCATGGAGATTTCTCAACTAAATACTAAATTAATGTATGCCTACTTTCCACAAACTAAGTTTTTAAACCACCAGAATGCAAAAAGTTCCAAATACAGAGTTCTGATAATTTGGCAGCTTTAGGTTTCTGAGAGTAAAAACTCACTGTAAGCCTAAAAAAACTCGCTGTTTTCAGCGAGCCAAGCACTTTGATTTGACAGAGTTCAAATCAATAATAACAAAAAACACATCAGAGGAAATTGGCAAAATCACATTGAGATGCTATACAGGATTCCCTTTCAAAAACACCGTGAAACATTTATTTATATGAGTCGCCACTTCCCTGGCCTAAACCCCATATTTCAGCAAGTAAATAGATTTTTTGTGTTCTGGCAATAGTTAACATTCAAGCAGCCCTTCAAAAATACTAACAAATCAAAAAGTGTATATTTAGTTGAAAATGAGGTATTTTACAGATGAAAAGCTTAAACAAAAACTATTAGTGAGCACTTGAAAGCTGATGGAGTTGGTTTAGGGCAAATAAACTCACAATTTTACTGAGACCTGTAAAAATACCAGGCCGAGGAAACAAAGCAATCGGTAGCAACACAGAAGTTAAACAACTGAAGATGCCACATCCATACTTAGTCCTCCAGCTAGGTCTCTACATAAAATAGTATTATTGTACGTGCTTTTCTTATTACCATGTTTTTCATTAACAATTTCAGCTCATGTTTCTATTCAAAACTTTACCATCTTCAACGACGAGATAGTTTCCTCATCATCTTTCGTGATGTTTCTGAGCACAGTTACTTTAGCTGACATGTCCAGAATCTCAGCACTCAGCTTCCTGCATTTCTTCATGAGATGCTTTTCATTTTCATGAGATTTCCTCAAAACAGCAAGGAGCTTCTCATATTTGATGCGGAATTTTTCCAGAGCTTCATCTCTCTTAAGTAGTTCAATGAATTCTTGGGAGTCTTGTTCCAGTATGTGAAATGCTCTTTCTTCTAGATATGTCTTATCCTGAGTGAAATGAAACAGGAGGAATTCAACATCTCACTTATGACCCCAGAACATAAAAAAGTAATATACTGAGTGTGTAACAGCTACTAAGAAATGATGACAAAATTTCCTGTAGTAACAGTTCTTTTGCTAGCATACGATATGCATGTTGCAGACTGTTTTTTCCAAACATTATCTCCCCCACTTTTACTGAAATAACTTGTGCTATAAGAGTCAGAGTTGTTGTCATTGAGTCCACAAATGCTTTAAAGATAAGTCTATAAAACATCATCATTGTGACAGTGTTTGAATGATGCATCAGCCACTGAGGAAGTCCAGTATTTTGGCCTCAATTCTGCCCAGTTCTCTACCCTCTGTAAAGACTGATTAGTTTATCCTTTCTATGCAGATAATGTCAGCAAATCACTTGCAGACAAGCATGTCTGAAAGTTCTAGTAATGCAAATGCAAGCCAGTTCTTCCTTGGTGGGAAATACTACTGCTAAACCTTTCACAGAGGACATTTTTGATCTAGCTCAGTTCTGATGCCAAATTTTGTCAGCTAAGTTGCCAGACACCAAATTCCACCAGTATTTTTCAAAGCAGCTTAAAATAACCCTCCATTATAGCCTTCAACAGAACACAATCACACCCAGAGCATGGGCACTTCCCAGGCATTAGTTTCATCTGCTAAACAGCAAAACAATTCAGCCCACAGGATGCTCTGTGCTGTCACAGATACATTGCTGCCATTACTGAGGCTTGCTCAAAACTGACTGGAACATCTTTCCACTGCAGTCTGAAGTCTAGGTATATCCTTACAATTGCATCTCAGAGGTGGTGGTCTCACTTGGATAGGAAAGCAGCTATTAGGGCTGGCCATGGATGTATGGTGAGCCCGCTCAGAGGAGAGGCAAGGAGAAACACAGCTCCCACTGCCTTAAAAATTGGCCCCAGTACTCCCTTTCTATGAAACCATGGGATTACTGTTTCAAAATTGGTTCAGGACTGTACTCACCATTTGAATATTAATAGTTTAAAACTGAGAATTTTCAAAATTCTAAAAAAATAAATAAATAAATTCTGAGAGCAAAATCACACACTTCATTTGGTTTTTATGTTTTTTTTGGGGAGTGCAGTACATAATTTCACGCTACCTGGAAAATTTGAAATTAAAAGGGAAAAACCAGACCTTTACGACCTGAAAGCAAGGTCAGGTCCTGTGCTGCATTGAGGCAGAGAGATCCTAACACATGCCTCTCCTTGTCAAAGCTCTGGTTTGGGGGTTCTTTGTGACAGAAACTTTAGTGGGAAAACCTCAAGGGCAGCTTTAATGTTACAGCTGGTTGGAAGGGCAGTATGCTCTGAGAGGCTCAAACTTGGTGTGTGCCCCCTTCAAACCTGCTCTGGGACTCACAGGTTTCTTTTTATTTCATCCACCTCTCCACAGAATCATAGAATCACAGAATGGTTTGTGTTGGAAGAGACCTTAAAGACCATCTAGTTCCAGCACCTGCCCTGGGCAGGGACACCTTCCACCAGCCCAGGTTGCTCAGAGCCCCATCCAGCCTGGCCTGGGACACTGCCAGGGATGAGGGATCCACAGCTTCTCTGGGTAATATGTGCCAGTGCCCTCCCAGGGAAGAATTTCCTCCTGCCAGCCGATCTAAACCCACTCTCTCTCAGTTTGAATCCATTCCTCCCGGTCCTGTCTCTACATGCTCTCGTGAAAAAAATCCCTCTCCACCTTTCCTTAGGCTCCGTTCGGGTACATAGTTTTGAGCTTGTTTCTGTTTGTGATGGTAAATCGAGCTGAAAGAGCAGTAATGAGCGGGGAGGTGGGTGGGGGGAGAATCACACTCGCGGCAGCTCCTGAAATTTGAGTGTCATTTTGCCTGTGTACGAGCAGCTGAGCTGCATTCAGCACAGGTTACCCGGGCAGGCAAGGATGGGGGGCGGACACGGGGGGCAAACAGGGGATGCTGCGCTCATCCCGCGGTACAGCTCCCGTCCTGCCGCAGGGGCAGG